ATTAATATTATAAAATACAAAACCAAAGATGAATAATTTATAAATTTTTTTTTTAATTCAACAGAATTGAAGCTTTACGCATTATATACTTTTTGAGAATTCACCAGAAATTTCTAAAATTGTTTTACTTCTTGGAACTTTGTAAAAAAGCCAAACAAAAATTTATAATAATTTCTTAATTGAATAAAATATAGAAATTAAAATTGTCAAGCCATAAAAAGAACTTAAGCTGAGCATTTTCTATTGCGAAGGCCAAGACTTACAAAATTCAACAGAATTGAGGCTTTAAGCATTATAAGCTTTATCTTAATTATCTAGAAATTTCCTAACCCTTTTTAAAAAGTTTAACTTCTTGAAGTAGCTTAACCCTTTTTAATGCTGTTTATTTCCAATGAATAACACAAAAAATATCAAAAATTTTGTTGGCTTAAACTTGACTTTTTTATATGCTCAGCCCGTTTAGGCTTTAAAACCCTTTGGGTTTCTTTCTGGTCCAATTGTGTGGCTCATTGCGCTCCTGCACACACTTGCCTTCAGCTCGATTCTGTCTTTTACTTTGCTTAACTGTGCGCACTCCTCCCGGCCCAAACACGTCCCTTTTTCGGCTGGCCTGGAACAAACTGTAAACAAGCGGCTGCGGCACAAGGACAATTTGTGCGCTGTGTTAAAATTATGAAGGCCCGTGTGAAGTGGGCCAGAGTAAAACGATGCCGCAAGCGTGCGACTGGGAGTATGGGCAAACAAAGGGCAAAACGTTCTCAGTCTCTCTCTCTCTCTCTCTCTCTCTCACTTACACACACACTCTTTCTCTGTCTCACGCTCACACCACGTCCAGCAGGACAAGTCGATGCAACCCCAGAGCTGCGGCAGCTGTTGGGTCCATTGCCCTTGCCAAGCCCCGTGCATTGCGCGCGGGCGGAAATATTGCGGAAACCGTTTATCATGTCGCCAATGGCTGCGTTTTCATAATTGCTGCAAACGCGACAAAACGGCGCAGCTACGGCGAGCAGTCAGCCAATTAGTTTATGCCTACAAAGAGAAATATATACGTATGTATATATACATATATAGTTAAGTATATTGAAAATGTAAGTCACATTTGTCCAGATCGAGTTTAACGTACCGATTTCCTATTTTTTATATTTATTTTTTATTTTCTGTTTGTTTGTTTGTTTATTTGCTCTGGCGCTGTGAGCGCAAGTTCAAGAGCAAGCGATAACCTGTGCACAGCCGATTAAGTAACAACAAAAACAACAACAATACGAGCAACACAAATTACAACGGCAACAAACAAGTCAACGCACACACGCGCACACACATGCATAAGTCACACCTGCTTAAGGCCGAGCAAACAAGCCTAAAAAAATCAACGTTAAACCGAGCGAGCCACTGAGCGAATGAAACAAAAATACAAAGAGTAATCAAGACAGCGAGAGAGAGAGAGAGAGAGGGAGAGAAGAGAGTTGAAGTGAGAGGCAGACAGGGAGAGGCTCAGCCTTTGCTTCTGCAAACAAACAATGTAAAGAAAAAGAAAAAAAATACATAATACCAAACAACTGGACAAGCCGGCCGGCTTTAAGTCTTGAGCCACAACAGCAAAACTTAGACGCAAAAGAGATAGAAAACGACGCAGCTTGAATGCCCTACTAGATGCAGGGAAAAGCTGACAAAGAAAATTCAGAAATTACCTAATATTAATTAAATATTTTTCTTAAAATTTTAAGTATACTGTTTAAAAAATAATTTAAACACTATTCAGAAATTACATAATCTTTATAAAATATATTTCTTTAATTATTTTAGTTACTTAAGAAAATTGCACAACT